ACGATTCTCTTATTGGGCCAAAGTAATGCTCGTGTTTTATTCATGAGAAGGTTGGCAGTCATGAAAAAATTTATGAAAGACACAAAACAGGTTCGACATGTCATTTCAAAAGCAAAAGCACTACGCAAAGCAGAAAATTTATTGTTCGGCGACGTTTTCATATAAAAATATAGCAAGAGGGAAGAAGTGTCAGAAGAACTGAAGAAGACGTTGTAACTGCATTTACCCACATCCGGTAATAATCGCTGTCCTCAAGGAGGAAGTTCACTTCGATCACGGGCAAATTTTCCATGGAGTTCCAGTTCAAGTCCTTGGAATAATAATAATCGTCCATCCAATGATTTTAATAAACGAAGCGAATTTCAGCCAAATTATCCATCGAAACTGCCACATGCTTGCGGTAATGAAAGATACGAGTATATTAATACTTTAGTGTTAAAAACACTGCCAGATTTAGAACAGAAAAACGTAGAACTACAGTTTTATAGCAGATATCATGGATAATATACATTCAGCATTCGAACATGTCTCTTTTGAAAATAGCGTACTTAATACGAAAGAGATAGGAGGAGGCAGACTACGGTTTTTCCTAAATAATTGGAAGCAAGTTACGAATGATGATTGAATTTTGAGTGTAATAATGGGATATAACATACCTTTTTGTGAACAGCCTACACCACGGCATACGTGTGCAAAGTCACAAATAGAAACCGAACATCAGGTGGTGTAAAATAAAATTTCTCTCGCTGAGGTACTGTGAAATTGATAAAAAAATTTTACGCGAGGAATACTGGATAAAATAACAATAGCTTTTTCAATTATTCAGGGGATGTGCAGCCTTCCACATCCGCTCCTTATTTGCGATCCAGTATTCTGCCTAAGATTTCGCCACAGGAAAACATTTTTTAAGAAAAGGAAATTTTAATTTCACTCGTGAAAAAAGCTTTCGCTCTAACAGAACATACTCTTGTCGAATTTGTTAGCAACTTTTTCACTCGACCCAAAACAGATGGTGGGGTCAGATCGATTTTTAACATTAAAAAGTTAAATGAAAAAGTAGAGTATGAACATTTTAAAATAGAAACAATGACGGATGTGAAATATTTACTAGAAAAAGATGATTTTATGTATCAAAATGATCTTAAAGATGCCTACTTAACGATCACCATGCACAGCGATGACACAAAGTTTTAAAATTCAACTTTAACGGTGTTTCATACAAATTTTTATGTTTACCATCCGGACTCGCGCCCACCTCACGAGTCTTCGCTAAACTGCTAAAACCTTTGCAGCATTAGCTTGAAAGTTAGGCATTCATCTCGTCATATATTTGGACGATATTATCATCTTCAGTAAAACGAAAGAAGGATTAATTCGGGATCGTAATACAGTTATTTATATTTTACACCATCTCGGTTTTGTATAGAACAAACCATAAGCGTAGCCCGATGGCGTAGTATTGAAACATTTAATCGATTTTATAAACAAGAAGTTAGATCAGAAAAATCTTTTCAAAAAAAATTGACAACTAACTGAATGTATGCTTTAAATATACCTTAAAAAGCTTATAGTTACCGCAACTGAAGTTACGAAATGAAATTGATAATTTTATTATTGGAATCTGTTAAAATTCTGCAAAAGTCGGTGTCAGATCTGTACAGATTCTGCTTGAATTCTAATACAAATCTTGTCGGAATGCAGATTCTGCACAAAAATTTGCAGAAAAGCAGAATCTGTCCAGATCTGTTGCAGAAACCTGCAAGTACGTTTTATCTTTCAGTAAGAAAACGGAGCGACATGTCGATCTATTTTGCTCCAGCACATCAAGTTTCCCAAGAGCAGTTAATTTTTCGACTTTAATCAATTTTAAATAACTCATCATGCTTTGGTAAGGAAAATTATGACTTATAAATTGAGTTACAGTGACTCGGGAAAGCCAAATTCCAAATTCTGTTGCTTATTGACAGTTTAAAGGACTTAGCTAAGAGTTGTGTCTTTGAGCATCTCATATTATCCCATGGTACATTGAATCCTTTCACAAAAGTTATTTATCATTCACCATGTTGTTTTTGTGCTCTGTTCTATATTTTCGTTCAAACCCGGGGACAAACAGATCGACATGGCGTTGTAATGCGCCCCGCACATCAAACTTTTTAGGGTGTCGGTCTGTTTTGTTCAGGGGTATACCAAGATCTGGATAATTCTTTAATTGCCGTTTTGTTTCACATTCTTGCTTACGGAAAAGTCCGAAAATTTCAAACACAGAAAAAGCTCGAAATTTCCCTTTCTTGAACATAGCTGTTTAAGGATCATAACCACATATGATTGTATGTCTAATGGTACAAGAAGTTCCACTAGGGTGCATCTACGATTTGACCTTGAAAACTGATGGATGATAGGTAATCGATCATGTTGAGTCTCGTAGCAATATTTATTTTTAGGAAAAGCTTTAAAAACCTATCTAAAAGCGAGTTTTATGAAAATTTGGGCTTTCAGACTATTTTCACCTATATTAAAAAATTCACTACTCACTCAAAAAATATCACAACCAGAATCTATCAGAATATAGAGTATTGAGGCTCTTCTACATTCTGTTTATACAAGATGTAGAAAAAGATCTTACAAAACTCTTACAAAAAAAAGGTTTTTTAGAAAACCCATTGACAAAAATATGCTTTTTTGACTTTTTCCGATCTTATAATCACGTTTAGCGGACAAAATTAACCATATCCTGCAGTTTTGAATTTGCTGTGATGTTTTTTGAGTGAATAGTGAATTTTTTAATATTAGATGAGAACAGCGTAAAAGCCCAAACTTTCGTATAACTCGCTTTTGGTTAGGTTTTTGAAGCTTTTCCTAAAAACAAATATTGCCACAAGACTCAACATAATCGATTACCTACAATCCATCAATTTTCAAGGCTACAGACAGTTGTCGGGTGCCAATTCTAGGGCTCACAGGAAATCCGATACAGCGCTCGAACCGCGGAAAATCAAGGTCTCCTTGACTTCCGTTTTGAAGAAGAGATCCCGGACTATCAACCCATGAAAGAGAAACAATACAATCGTACTGAAAAATTTTACACACAACTTAGTTTTTCATGGGTCTAAGGGAAAACCTGTGTCACAAAACTCTTCTTAAAATTATTTACTTGCGAAAACATGTCCCAAAGTCTCTTCTTTTGCATGGCGAAAACCGCACGTCTCCACCACTTTCGCTTCGAAAGTTATAAGCGATCTTCCCGCGCACATCTTTTTTTGAAAACGACAGTAGTTTTTTATATTTTTAGAAAATAAATATAAATTCGTCATTTATATTTAAAAAGTAAAAATAAATAAATGACAACAAATTTATTTTTATAAAATAAAAATAAAAATAAATGGATTCATTTATCCTTACCTTATAAAGAAAAATAAATCGCTTATATTTATTCATTTTATAAGTGAACAACAAAATTGAATTAACATCCCTAATCTACACGTTACTTTGAATGAAATCCAAATATTCCAGAGCTCTGCTACATCCCACAGCGCGAAACTTTTCTGAAGAACCTCGACGATTTCGCGGTGCAGTTCTGATCTTTGTCTGAAAACATACCGCAATCTTCACTCGTCGTTTTACAATCGAAACAACACAGGCTACTACTCAAGGATGCTTTACGGTTAATTATCTATTTCAAGTTAGTTTCTTTCGTAATTATTCAACTTCAGTACTTTTCACTTAGGTGAGAGATTTCTTTTGCGTTTAGCATATATAATATCGTATCATGACGCCCTCTATTGCACTTAATTTTCTCATTTAATTCTGGTTGACTGATTATATGCAGAATGGCGGTTGATCTCTTCTGAAGTACGGTTGATGTCTTCGAAATATTCTAAATGAAATTACAATTTTTTTCTCTCTGTTATGATTGGCTACCACATGAAATATATGACGTCCATTTTTCCATGTTTTGTAGAAGCATACACACCACTCACTTATATTAAGAGACGGTGGAACTGCGTTTAGTTCCAGTTTATCTTCAGGATGAATGCAACGAAGTTCATTGCATTATTTATTGGAGCTCTCAGAGTAAACCATGGAATAAAATTGAGTTTTATTCAATTTTTACAACTGTATACAGTATATTAGTTAATTAAAGAAATATACTACACCGACTTTGGATTCATAACTCAATATAAGTTCGATTTGAGCGAGAGTAGAATAAAGGTGCGGAAACTGAAGTGGTCAATATAGCCCGTAATTTTTTTTCAAGTGAACGCAAGAAAAAAATTTTCGTTTTCTGTTTTACTGTGAGAATTAAATTTTGTATACGTCATATACTAAAATATAGCCTAAAATTACCTGTAAAACTTATATAACAGACACGTGCGTGATTGAAGATGTGTATCTTTTTCTTATTCTCATTTTAATCCTTACTTTAAGTGAGACGTGCAAAACCAGTGTCTATGTACACTTTGTATATAACCCATACGGAGAACAAGAAGTGCATTAAGTTCTTTTTATTTTTTTGATCACCTTTATTCACTACACAGGCAATGCAAATAAAAATACTCAAAGGCACATGATCAGAAAAAAAAAAAATAACAGCAAAAATTGTTCAATGTAAAAGTTTATAATGGACGACGGAAATTTCCACTCTCAGTCCTAGCATATCTTGATCACACCAGTCTTGTATGTTGTTAACACTTTACTAAAGTCAGGGGAATTGTCTGTTGTGTAGTGTATCTGTACACTAGTGACAATATAGTTATTGGCTAGCAGGTCCACCAAAGATATTAATTTCATATCTGGTATGACTAAAAATTTAGCGTAAATAATCAGATGAGTAAATTAGAATCAAAGGAATAAGAAGATTGAGTTTATACAGTGACGGTCTAATCACTGTAAAAAGTGTAGCATAAGAGTTTTCTACTCTTTCGAATATAATACTTGCCGTCATCTTGTGAGCGAAAGAAAACCGTTTTTGCATCAGGTTCAAGTGCAAAGCTTTAGAGGCAATGCCAAGTAAGACGCGCAAGTGACTACAATTTTCTCGCTTGCTCATTGAGCTTTCTTCACTAAAAAATCACATGAAACATGCCGTTCATTCATTTTAAGCTTGTTCACAGATTTAATTCATCTTCTAAGAAAACACCAAATACATTAGTAAACAACTAATAAACGGGAACAAGGTAAAGAGAAACACGAAGACTATCTATCGCCTAGCTCTATCCCTCTCTCGCACTTGTACATTGTCCCAACCACTTAGTACAATACCTCTATGTACTGCATATAGTCTAGGAAAAATAAAAATATCAGGCGATATGAAGATTCCGTAATCTACTGTTGCGTGGTAGAAATCTGTAGTACTGTTAAAGTAGTTTTACGATCTCTCATCAATGTTTAATGAGCAACCAATTCTCCTAGACCCACTGATCCATTAAATTACCTTCAGTAGAACTGATCAACAAAAAGAAGGTTTGATCACTGTGCCTTCGTAGATAATTTTTCACTAGTTTTCAGTTTAAAGACCGTTTGTGGGATGCTAGGTTGACCCATAATATCAATTTATAAACACGAGTATAACATTGTATAGCGTAAATGAACGCTTCTTAACATTTTTTCATACTGCTCTCATATTAGCACATTCTTTAATTTCTGGTGTTAGCTGTTGAATTGAAACAACAAAAGTGAATCATCTATTTCAGGTATCTATGCTCTTAGTTGCCCGTAGCTTCTGTTTAACTAAAGTTATCCACAGTTAGTGGTAGTATATGTCTAAACGGCTTTAATGTTGGATTGAGTGTTTCATAATACTAGTTTCGAATTACGTGAGATGCCGCTAAGATACGATATAAGTAGTTTCTTTTTTCTTCGTATTGCTAAATGAGAGTCCACTTACAGAAGGATTCGTGCAAATTTTTCTGTGATGACACAAAACAAACTTTTCTCAAAGCAGGGGGAGCACTACTCTCCTGTACGGGCGAACTTCATTTTAGTTTTCGAAAGTCAACTTTCTTCTTTCTGCCGCATCGCGACAAATACACGGTTATGATCGCGAAATAAGAGCCTTCCAATAGTGATCGTGATTATTTGTGATTGCTATGTTGTAATCAAGATTCATTTTTCTGCTGTTGCCTAATAGAAGTCATGGAAGTTATGTTTTTCTCGCGATCGCATATAAATCGCTATCTTCGCACCGCGACTACTCAACCACTACATTCAAGCGTTATTCCGTTTTTGCGCCATCACATGTTTGATTCTAATTAGTTATCAGAACTTGATCGCTTCTTGATCCTACGAGTCATATTTTTGGCGTTTGTAATGAGCCTTTTATGGACTTATAATAAAATCGCTGTTATTTGTACATGAAATTATAAAGGAAAGCTTCAGTTTTTGCCGTTTCTGTGATTTTAACAAATACATTAATTATATGAATTTGTTTAGTTGTGTGCAAAATTTACATTAAAATTTTTTGAGTGAGTTTTTGTGTTCTTAAATGTTTTTTGTACAAATTTTGCCTTATTTTGATGTTTATTTCTGATTACTAGTTGCATCATGTGTGTTTTTGGACCCACGGATGTAGTATGATCCACGTAAAAAGTGAACTACGTTTACTGTGTCGTACATTTAACTTCAGTACGATAATGACACAATGATTTTTACAATACATTTCTTTTTATAGACTGTATGACCCTTCTGCATGCAGGCAGTAAAAATCTTCATTTCTTTCTGTAATAAAAGAAAGAAGTATTCTTCGAACTGGCCGAAAGAACAAGAAATTTCTAGGTTAATATATATATGCATCTTTCTCGCTCGCTCTTAATTCTCTTTTACTTTTTCTTTCGTTCTTTCGTTTTTTTTCCTGTTTCTTGTTGTAATACAGATGAAATGAGAAGAGTCGTCTGTAGAAGTAATGGAAAAGAAAGTGACTAAATAGAGCTGTACACATCATGAAAAATTCTTCTGTTGAGTATTTGCTAAATGTCTTTTTTTGATTTTAGTATCGATTTTAGATGTAATATTATAGATTTTTATTAATTTTGTTTTACAATTTTTCAAAGAGCTGCTCCGTTTTTAGACTATAACAAATACTAAACAATAACCAAACATCTGTTGCAATGGCTGAGGGAAAGAGAAACGTAATAGATAAGTTAGTGCATAAAGTTAGCGACATAAAACATGATATTGGAGAAAAATTAGAACATCATCATCACCACCATCATCATCATCATCATCATACAGATAGAAAATCAAGTATGGACACAAAAGATATCAAGAAGGACGAAATCGAAACATCGGTTTTCACTCAGCAAAAATATCTTTCCAGTAAGTATGAACTGTTGCCAAGAGGGAAAAAAAGCAGCACCTAATGTCGATTAGGGTGCTGAATGATGCCGTAAGGTACTGCCTTGCAAAACATAAGGTAGTTGGATTGAATTACACATTGTACGGATAAAGTTGGCTGCATTTACATCATACTGCTGAGAAGACAATAATACTTTATTTTTGATTCAAATGGAAGCAAAAGAATAAAAAAAAGAAGTTTATAGTCGGATTCGATGTTTTTATCCATCCGCCCTCTTGAATTCTACTAAGTGAGAAGGTTAGCGATAGACTAAATCGATAGATTTGGGTGCCGAAAAAATGTGCCAAGAGGTGCTGAGCGACTTGTCCACGTAACGTGCTACTTCGCTGATCAAGTTATTTTTCATGTTTTTTACTCGATAAATCGGTAGAGGCACATCACTAGACGCCGTTTTGTATGAATACGAATCTGACATTTTCAAAAAAAGTAAAGTGTTCATTTAAAAAGTTGAAATCGAAATTTTTTTTTGAAAAGTTTATTTTCAATTTCCTCATCTAGACACTTTGTTTAAAAAAATTGAAATATACACCATCGGATAGAGAATTTAATTCTTTATAAAATGGCTTACTCAGTTTTTGAGTTTTGAGGATTTAGAAAAAAATGAAATTTTTTGAAAAGAGTTAAATCTTTTGAAAATATATCCAAGAGTGTTTTTGGTATTAATGATTCATAGTGTTAAAATCATTTTCCAACAATTTTGTATAGTGCATTGGAAAGAGTACACAGAAATTTATCTATCTGTACAAAAATGAAATTTTTTGAACAAGGTTTAGTGCTTCAAAACGAGATGAGAAAAGATGATCCAAAACGAGAAAAAAAAATAGAATAAAATCCTATTTCAGGCTCTCAAAAAGAAGAACCTTTTTACCAACGTGTAGGCCGTTGTTCGCTCTGCAACTCTTGTCTCACTCAAAATTTCCAGAGTATCTTAGATCACCGAGAAAATCGCAATTTGTTCTGTCCTCCAAAAATTATGGGCCTTTTTTTGTTACTGTGTAACGCGTTATAGAATTTGTCTCTAAGCCGTCAAGCTCAACCAAATTTTTCCAGCATACGTAGAGGAAATGGCGCAAGGACCAACTCTCTAGCTCTTAAACTTCTCGAGAAAACCGTGAATTATTGTGTTAAATGTTACTGCGTAACGCTTGGACAAGCCGTGAGGTGCTATACTAAAAAACAGTGCCTTTCCCCCTGGACTATTGCACTTTCTATGTCAACTTCTTCTACCGTTGAAGTGTTCAAAATACAAATTGATTGCTTTTTTGCAACTGTAGAGAGAAAAATAGGTGATAATTTGGACTCATTAACGTGAAATGTTTTTTGAATACCTTCAGATAGTGGAATGGAGATTAATTATTTTCGATAGTTTACCATCAGGAGCGAACTGCATCTATCTGTGTAAAAGTCGAGTACCAAGCTTCACCTTAAGATACTATTAAATGGTGAATAACATTTGTTGGTAACCCAAGTATGGGATGTGAAAAGAGTTGCTGGATTTGTACATAAATCCAACAATTAGGCTGACTGAGTAGCTCCCTTTCTAGATCCTATGATTATGATATATTTTAAAAACGTACGGTAAATTTAGCGGCGTGATAATTATTTACAAATAGTTTGCACTGACAATCGATAAATTTGTGGAATTTCGTTTGTAAATTTTATATCACCCACAGATGTATCTAATTATGAACAATTGAAATATTAGAACTAATAATCATTTTTTAAAATTCAGTAAATTTAGCGATGTTGAAATATGAATCAAGCGAACCTGTGTAGGGGGAGTTACTTTAAATGATTTCAACACTTTTAGCCAAAAAGTCGTTGACGGACAAGTCTAGTTGGTGAAAAACATGATTCCGCAATATTTTGTACTATTTCCTTGCCTTTATATCTTTCATAAGCACAGACATTTGAAACTCGCGACAGAGTTGAGCAAGTCAAATCGAAAATGCCTCAAGTCTAGAATGGATTTGGTCGAAAAATTCTAGGGTGTAGCTTGACTTAACTTGAGAGATTTTTTTTCGTGACTATGACTAAAACGTAAAAAACCGTTAATTCATTTCTAGTAAAACATTTTCGTTTAAATTAAACCTTTTTTACCATGAATCACAGTTTCTGAAACGATAAAAACTGTCTCTCATCTAAAACGCGCTAGTAAAAAAGTTTTATATCTTGGTTATTTTGTAATCAGACTTGACTTGGGAGAAAAAAATTTTTGACCTCGGCTTAACTGAACTTGAAGATTTTTTTAGTAACTTGATTTGACTTGTGACTTGCCCAGCTCTAGCTCGCGATCGTTCCATTTTGCGACGAAAAGCGAGCTTAAAAAAATGGCACATCTGAACTATCCAGGATTCTCACTTATAGAAGTATATCGATGAAACAACAACTTACATTGTTTAATAAAAAAAGAAAATTTTTTAAGAGTAATATTGAATATTTTCTTAATTACCAACTTCATATGTCGTTTTTTTCTATTTTTACGAAAGATATAAAGATGAGAAAATAGCACAAAACATTTAACAGTATCACATGTTTAACAGAGTCATGTGTTTTTAAAGTACTATTTTACTAGATTTTTTCCACTTCGCTTTCGCAAACAAAATATTGATAAACTTGTACTCATATTCAAGATTATCAAGCATATTTAAGTCAAAGTATCAGAAAATGTTGCACATCATCCATTTATAATATGAGTTGAGTGTATGGATTTGCGTGATGTAATTCTACTTGATAGACTATCAACAATGTCGCTTAACGTTAGGGTCAAATGATGCTTGAGACTCATTTTTTTCGCAGATAGATATGGTTAGATATTGATTATAAACTGACGAAAGACTTCAGATCTTACTCATTTTTGCTACAATTCAAAATGCAAGCATAAACTTACAAGGGAACTTTTCGAAGTGATTAAACGCTTTTTGCTCGGAATCTAGTGAGTTATAGGTTATCAACCATGCTAATTTCAAATATGACCATGGATGTTGCCCTTAGTCCTTCGAGATCTGGTTTTCTAGAAAACCAGTTTTTGAGAAACTTTAAAACTTATGTAATCAGAACTTTTCTTAATGAGGCAGGATTGTAGCCCGAAAATTTCTGATTAAAATGAGACATCTCCCAGCTTTATACGACCGTTCTTTGCAAAGTTTAGAATTTACAAGAAAAGTCCTGAATTACTTTTGTCTTATTTCTGCTGCTTTGAGCTGACAATGAACACTTAGGACTTTACTTGTAAATTCTATAATTTTGCAAAGAAAGGTCGTGTAAAGCTGGGAGACATCTCATTTTAATCAGAAATTTGCGGACTACAATTATGCCTCATTAAGAAAGATTCTGGTTATATAAATTTTCTATAGAGTTTCTGAAAAACTGATTTTCTAGAACACCCGATCTTCGAAGGGCTAAGGGCAACTTCCATGGTCATATTTGAAATTAGTATGGTCGATAACCTATAACCCATTAGATTCCGAGCAAAAAGCGTTTAATCACCTTGAAAGGTTCTCTCGTTAGTGACTTTATTTTAAAAAAGTTCTAATACTTTTAATCTTATTTTATATTTATAGATGAAAATTTTGGTGGTGTGAATAATAATGTTTCTAGTAATGGTATTCTACAACATCCATATTCTACAAATTTAATACAATCATTTGCTCCTACTGCAGCGTCACTCGACTCATCCAGTTTATCACCAATAGATGATGGTGATAATCAATCGGAAGAACTTGTTGTTGGTGCCGGTGGTAATGATGTTGTTATAACAAAAATAGATCCTGAGCATATGACAGCTGAAAAAGCTGTCACTGTACGAGCGCCTCCACTATTATTACAAGAACCTAAATATCGTAAATATCGATTGGATAATACATCATCAAATCAAAATCAAGTATCAAAAAAAAACATTGAATCAATTATATATCAAGTATCTGTGAGTAAAAATAGAAAATAAATATATTTCTATACTCTATTTTCAATTCTTCACCCTATTACTAGATTGGTGTCGGTGTTCTATCATTAATACTAACATTATGGAAACCATTATCATCTTCTTTCAGTGGTTTTATCGTTGGATTTTTGTTTCCAATGGCAGTTGCTTATATTCTATTCAAAAATTATGTTAATAAAAAGGCAAATGAACAATTAGTTAGTGAATGGGTTGAATTTCCAGAATTAGAACAATTATTAGCTGAAAGAGCAGCAAAAGAAGATAAAGCATCAACTATAAATGAAGTATGTTTCTCATTCTATGTGTGCGTTAAGGTTTAATAAAACATCGATCTTGTCATCTAAATTATCTTTTTTCGTTTTTTACTATCCCAGTAAAAAGGAATATACAAAACAGTTAAGAAATGTAAATAATCTCGATCGGAAAGTGTCACAGCGAATATTGACTAACATATTTATTTCTGATATTCAACTGTAATCCTCAATTTAAATGATTTGAATGAAGAATGTCTGTTTTGTTATTTCATTTATTATGTTTGATATTTGGTTTACGATGAGATAATTTGAGCTCATTTATTAAAATTTGCTTAAAAAATTGTATTTTAACTGAAATAAAGTCAATATTGTCGTATTGTTTCTTATAGTAAATTACACGCCAAAGCGAGAAAGTTTTTTATTTTTTTGTTTACACTCGCTCTAATGAGATTTCCAAAATTAAAGTAGAAAATTTTGTTGTTTTACTTTGATTTGCAAGATCGATTTTCTTTTAATTTAGCACAAATATAATAATGTTGTCTTTTTATTTAGACTCATGCTGAAATTATATTTGACCGATATGATGCTGATAATGATGATAAATTTGTTCGTTATCCGTGTTTAATACGTTTGGATCAATATCGAGTCATTATACAATTACCCACAAAACCCATTAGCGAATCGGAAAAAAAAGAACAAGAAGTGACTATTGTTGGTTATAGAGAATATTCTATTAAAGGTAATCAATTATTTGTATACGTACATTTATGAGTATCTATGCTGTCCCGGAAAAGCATACTTTTAGAAAAAGCACACTTAAATTGTGCTTATTGTGCACTATTCCAATGGATTAAATTGTTAAAACTCACAGCAATATTAGTTCTAAGCAAAGTTTGTATGCTGCAAAACTTTCCAACCGTAGCCTTCTGTCCTTCGAATTGAATTTTCTGTTTTTCATAGGATAACCATGCTGCCTTGTGAACTGCAAAGTTTTCTTTGTCATTATCAAATTTTCATAAATTGACAAACGCATCTATTATCTCTATTGGACTACTTTTAAGTGTTTGCGCTATTGAATTACACGATTAGATTTTTTTCATCTGCAGTTCGCAAGACAGTGTGAATATGCTATGAAAAACAGAAAATTCAATTTCTTATGAAGGACAGAGGATTAAGGTTGGAAATTTTTGTAGCAAACGAGCTTTGCTTTGGACTAATATTACTGTGAGTTTCAGCTGTTTAACCCATTGGAATAGTGCGTTACAGTAAAAATACCAAAAACTCGAATTTCACTAAATCAACCGTAACTCGAGAAGGAAGCCACAACAGTTCAAATCCTTTTAGGCTTTTTGTTACACTCATGTGCCCTATCGATCAGCAAAATATGAACTCAAACGGAGTTAGACACCTGGAGAAGTTCCGTTCTAACACAGTCTGTCGAATTTTTTCATGTTTTTGGATTTGTAACTCTTCTCTGTGATTCTCGATGAAAAGAAGGAGGAATTGGAGTCTAAGTTTTAGTGAAAGATAGACATAATTTTACACTATTCATGTACATAGTTATCGAAATACTTCGTTTTTGTTTCGGTTATCATTGGACTTAATCTTCTCAAATTCGAAAGTTAGCACCCTAAAGAACTGATTTTTTTTTTTTTAATGAATAATGGAATACATATTCTCAGAGCAGAATTTCTAATTGTTCTCAGGGATGGAAAGGGCTAAAAATTTTTCTTCGCCGCACGTGGCGGGCGAAAAAAAATTGCTTTTGAAAACCATCAAAGATTTTATCTAAAAGTCCATTTTAGGAAGGGGCTAGCTCGCTCCCTAATCGGGAAGCCTCTCTCAGAGCACAGATTCCATTTCCGTCTCATATTGTTCGTATGTTTATCATTGAGAATTTTTGTTTTGTTTTTTTATTTTAGAAGCAAATTTAATTCTTGTACCGGAAGCAACGTTAACTCGTGCAAAATATTGGCTTGTCGAATATCCAATTGTTATTCAAAATTTGCAAATATTAGATAGTAAATTGTTCATTGTGGAATAGAATAAATCTGTATATTTATTGGAGACTCTTTCTTTTAGAAACAAAAAAAAACGCACTCAATAAACAAAGTTTTGAGAAGACAAAATTTGATGCTGATCATTTTTTTGACAATCCATCAACAGTTTTATCATTGTTCTTTCAAACTGGTCCTGAAAAAGAAGATTGGTTTCATAAATTATCATTAATGATACTCAAAGGTATATAGACGTCTTCCAGATACACGAATTATACGTTAAACATAATTAACGATTAAGTTCTTGAAAATATAGGAACTTTTTTTTGGAATAATCACCAGAATTTTTTATTTTATTATATATACAGGTAAAGAAGAAATTGAAAGACATAATCGTTTGTTATCAGCACCATCGGGTAGTAGTATACCATCAATGGAAAGTGCCAGTGCCATACCATCATTGGATAATGCTCGTGCACGAAGAAAAGATAATTCTGATCAGCAACCACAACAACAACAACAACAACAACCACCTCTAAATGTAACGGCGACAACAAAAGAAGAAAGAGGTGATTTAGATGAGAAAGATTCAAGTGGTACATTAAGAACAGCAGCAACAGTTGAAACAAAACAATCTAAATTACAAGATAGAACATCATTAGAAAAATTATTACAATCACCAGATTGTCTAGATGAAGCAGCTATAACAATGAATTTTCTTGTTCGACGTTTACTTTGTGATATGTTTCAAGATTCAAAAGTATTTACAGATGCAATTAAAGAAAAAGCTGAAACAAAATTAAAAGAAATATCTGCTGTAAGTATTCAAAGAACGATCGTTTAAGAGTGTCAACGTTTTACTGTGCCGTACAAGGAAGAACACTACTGTAAAACCTTCTTATGGTGATTTTGGGATTTTCCAGACCTGTTCACTGTAGGAAGATTCAGTTTGAGCAACAGAAATCTTTTGGAGACATTTGGGAACGAAGAGGTACATGCACACTCAGAAGGTTTTTACTGGAAAGCATACAATTATAATTTGCAAATTCATAAAAAATTCTTTCTAAATCATCGAATCGACTTTACAAGAACATGACGCTTAGATTCTGAGTAATAATTTTGAAATGTCAAATTTCATTAGAACTCTATAGCTCTAACGAAAATGAGTAAGATGTCGGAAATTCAAAACTTAAGTGTATTTTAGTTTTGCGATATTTATACATCATTCGATAGAGATCGTCGAGCTGAATCTAAATACGTGTGTTATAATCTTACGAAAGACATTTTTGTGATTGAAAATTTTCAAAGTTGAAAAACCAGTCTATATGTTGAAAATAAACGTGAATCTCTAATCTACTGTCTTTGTGAATTTTAAATCTTTTTAGTCTTATTCTATATG